GCACTCTACCACTGAGCTATAGCCCCAGCCCCCATATTTGTTTTTTATCACTCAGCTCAAATGATTGCTCTGTTAAAGTCTAAAAGACTTTAGGGCTGGGGTTGTAGCTCCGTGGTAGAGTGCTTTGTGGGAGGCCAACCTTACACGTGACTGAGTTACACTCCCCGGCTGGGTGCTGAGGCTCTCAGTCACAGAAATGTGGCACCCTTCTTGGGTGCAAGGGTCGGTGTCTCGTGTATGGGTGTGTCTTGCTACAGCCCCATGGGTGAAGCTACGCTCACCTGTTTCTTTGTAATATAACCCTTTGCCCTGTTTAGGATAGAATCTTCCATGGAAGTGCCTTGTGTGTGTCCCCTTCTCTTATTGTGCCCTTGGGTGTGGCCTACCCAGGTGTCAGTCAACCTGCTGGCAGTGGACATCATGAAGATAGACTTAGCCCCCGGAAACCTGACCCCTTGCCTCATTCAAATAACTTCTCCTCAATAAAGGGGTCAGTGCGTGTTCTCGCTCGCTCTCTTTCTGCGGACCCTTAAGGTCAGAGGAGCCGTCACAGCGACCCCAAAGAAAAAGGTATTTGTGTCTCTTGTGTGGTTATTTCGTGCAGCCGAGTTAGCCCAGTTTAACTGGAGTGACCCCTGAGCCTTTTAGTCTCGAGAACAGAAACCCGGCAGTGCTTGCCTAGCGTGTGTTAGGCAGTGAGTTCAATCCTCAGCACCACATATAAATAAATAAATAAATAACAGTATTGTGGGTCTGGGGTTGTGGCGCAGTGATAGAGTGCTTGCCTTGCATGCATGGGGCACTGGGTTCGATCCTCAGCGCCACATAAAAACAAAATAATATGTCCACCTAAAACTAAAAATACATAAATAAATAAATATTTTTAAAAATAACAGTGTTTTGTATCTACAACTAAAAAAGCAAAAAGACTAAAAGTCTAAAAGACTTTGTCTCATACTTAAGAAGTAGATTAATTTTGTCATTTTTACTCATATCTGCATTTTCCAGGCACCTTTCAATAATCCATCTCTTGGGGCTGGGGTTGTAGCTCAGTTGTAGAGCACTTGCCTAGCACATGTGAGTATTGTGTTTGATCCTCAGCACCACATAAAAATAAAGATATTGTTCATCTATGACTAAAAAAAAATCCATCTCATCTGTACGTATTTTACTTTTCAAAACATCTTCATGCTTTTTTTTTTCTTTTAGTATTGGGTATTAAACTATTGAAATATGCTATGCAAGCACTCTACCACTTAGCTACACACCCTGCCCTTTGTATTTTTTACTTTGACAAACAGGATCTCACTAAGTTGCTGAGGCTGACCTCAAACTTGGTGATCCTCCTACCTCAACCTAAGTAGCTGGGATTATGGGCATGGGCTACTGTGTGCCTGGCTCATGTCTACCCTTTCTTTCTTTCTTCTTTTTTAATTATTATTATTATTATTTTTTTTGTAGTTGTTGTAAACAGACAGAATGCCTTTATTTGTTTAATTTTATGTGGTACTGAGGTTCGAACCCAGTGCCTCACACATGCTAGGCAAGCACTCTGCTCCAACCCTCATGTCTGCCCTTTCAAGTGATGCTTACAGCTGTATTTAATAAGTCAGGTGCAGTTTTGTTGTAAATTCAAGAAATGAAATGGCTTATTAATATCCTTCTGCAACTTCTTGGCAAAAGCAGACCAAGTACTGAGAACTTTTAGTTCCACTTTTAGCACCCTCTTCTATTGGCAACACGAACTCCTCACTCAATTAGATAATTTTTTTTTTTTTTTTTGGAAGCGAGTTTCCACTATGTTGCTCAGGGTAATCTTGAACTCCTGGGCTCAAGTGATCCTCCCATCTCAGCCTCCTAACTCGGGGATTATAGGCCGGTATCACCAAACCCAGCACAATCTTTCTGTTTTTATAGTAATCCTCTGGAGATGATACTTCAGTTCTGAGGTTGCCTTAGAAGGGGAAGAGAGGCCTATTGTGTGGACCCTGAGTGTCCCTGCTCTCTGACTTCTCCCACTTTTCCAAATTGTTGTTGCTAGTGGTAATGAGGATTGAACCCCAGGCTTGGTACATGCTACCACATGCTGTACCACTGAGCTACACCACTCAGCCCCCCAACTTCTCTAATTTTTACATGATTTGTTGGGCAGCGGGGGATTTCTGCCCTAAACTTGGCTGGACAGTAATGCTTCAACCCAGAGGAAGGGCTTTTTTTTTTCCTTTTCCTTTTTCTTTTTAAATTCTTTTTAGATATACATGACAATAGAGTGTATTTTGACATACATACATGGAGTATTACTTAGTCTAATTAGGATCCCATTGTTGTGGTTGTACATGATGTGGAGTTTCACTGGTTGTGTATTCACATATGAACATAGGAAACTTATGTCTGATTCATTCTCCTGTCTTTCTTAATCCCATACCCCCTCCCTTCCCTTCATTTTCCTTTGTCTAATCCATCCCCCACCAGAAAGGGCTGTAATGGTAGAAATTTCAGATACCTTAGGCAGCTAACAGTTGAAGTTTAGTTTTGTTTTATTTTGTTGGCACTGGAGATTGAAACAGGGGGTGCTGAGTCATATCTTCAGCCCAGTACCCAGGTTTATGCTATAGGCTAGGAAATATGAGAGGGAGATGGTATCCATAGAGGAAGTGTTTTGAGTTTATAGGCTTCTTCCACTTTGAACATATGGTACTTTCCTGCTCAAAATGTTTTGGAGTTGCTTTTGAGATAAGTCTAGGACATCAATTGAGAAGTTAGGACATCAATTGAGAAGTTAGGTATGAGGAGCCCAGAATTAGACAGATTTATTAAAGACTCTTTTTTTCTTCCTTTCTTTCTTTTTTTTTTTTTTTTTTGGTGGTGGTGGCAATGGAGATTGAATCCAAGGCCTCACGCATGCCAAGCCAAGCAAGCACTCTGCCACTGAGTCACATCTCCAGCCCTTCGACAGATTTTAGGTAATCAGCAAAAGACAGTTCTTGATCACCTAATGTGTGTCTGGCCTTGGGTGCTAGGTATGATAAAGGGAGATGCAGTTTGGTCAAACAGAGGTTTTTCTGAACCTATGCCAGACCTGCTGAATTGGAACTTCATGGAAGTTCTCTGGTGAACTCAAGCTGGAAAGACCTAACCTGATTTCATTTATAAGAAATATCCAGAGGGTAAGGGATGTAGCTCAGTGATAGAGCACTTGCTTATTATGTGCAAGACCCTGGGTTCAATCACATACATACACAAAAAATGTGTGTGTGTGTGTGTGTGTATCTTCAAAATAGGCAAATATATAGAGACACAAAGTAGATTAGTGCTCACCTAGGACTGGGAGACGGGGAGAATGTAGGGACCTTATAGGTAATAGCTAAATGGCAGAGTGGTTTTTGTTTTTTTTTGGGGGGGGGTTAATGAAAATATTTTAAAATTGTGGTGATAGTTACACAACTCTGAATATACTAAAAGTAATTAATTGTATGCTTTAATTGGTTAAATTGCATGATATGTGGATTCTCAACAAATTGTTCAAGATATATATATAACATGGACCAATTTCCACAGTAACTTCTACAGTGGCTCAGGTATCTAGGTAGTTGGTGACTCCAAGACCATTATCTTTCCTAGACCTGGGAAGTACTTGTTACCTAGAATAGTCAACAAAACTTTTGGATGCACCAGAAGAGTACAAAGTAAATAAGCAATTGTAGTGGGGTATGATTATTATTATACCAGGGCAATTGCAGTTTCTTGTAACAAAAGCAAATTGGAGGAATGGGGACATGGAAAAGTAGACAGGGTTTAAAAATATTTAGTGCATTTATCTGAGAGGATTCCAATGGTCATGGTGAGGGGATTGAGGAAAGAGTCAAAGATGAGGTTCAAGTTTTATGACTAGGTAATTGATGACCCCAAGAGTCCTGGAGGAGAAACAATGTTTGAGGTGTTGAATTTGATTTTGTTAAGTTTGAAATGCCCCAGATGTTCAAAAAGTGTCCAGTCAGCAGTTGAATGCAAGGGTTATAAGGGAGATGAGAGTTATGTAATGATTGGCACAGAGCCTCAGCATAGGTGGGAGTTAGAGGAATGGATAAGGTAGTCCAGGGAGTGGGTTTGAAGAAAGAGAAGGAAGCCAGGTGCAGTGGTGTGTGCCTGTAATTCCAGTGACTCAAGAGAGGCTAAGGCAGGAGAATCACTAAGTTTGAAGCCCGTCTCAGCAGCTTAGTGAAATCTTGTCTCAAATTAAAAAATAAAAAGGTTCAGGATGTAGCTCAGTGTTAGAGATTGCTGAATTCAATACAGTATGTCTCCCCCCCCCCCGCCCCCCTGAAAAAAGAGAAGGAAGAGGAAAGGGCCTATAGTGGAGCCTGTGGAACAGCATTTAAGGGGAATACTTGATGAGGAAGAGGAGGTCGTAAGGAGACTCAAAGGAGTTAGCTAGAAATGTAGGTGTTAGCCATAGTAATTCAGCTGCTCTAAGTCAGCCTTTACTGATCCTCATGACTTGAGTGTATGGTAAGTTCAGAGACAATGGAGATTTGACTTTTGACATCAAATTTGAACTACTAGTGGCCATCACCTGATCATAAATTCTGGAACAAGTGGCCTCTTTCTTGCAAGTCAGTGGTAGTCTTATTTTCTAGATGATAGATTGAGCTTCCTTAGCGGTTTACATGAGTTACTGGAGTCTTCCCAAGCTCACCCTCCTATATCAAGCCAGAAAAGGCAAGCCCAGAAGTCAAGTCAAGAGCTTCTGTCCACCTATGGATCCTCTAAATAGGGCACTCCAGGGCTATCTAGGGGTAGGAAGGGAAGAGAGGCAGCATGTCATATGCTTGGAGTTCAGCAAATTGTACCCACACACCAGGCACAGAAACACACAAGAAAAGCGCCCCCGCTCTGTGGGTGAGACAAAGAAGCAGTCCTATTCCCACGTGCCAGCCCATCTGCTTCTTTGCCTTCACAAACATGCTTTTTTCTTTCTTTCTTTTTTTGGTTCTCTGCAGCTTTGAATAACATGAAGAAGAAGAGTGGGAGACAAGAGGAAAGGTAAGGTTGAAAGAAGGCAAGAGGAAAGGAGGGAAGTAGGAAGAAACTCCAGCAATAACCAACACAATAAATTGTATCCTGGACCACCTCGACCTGGCCCCTTTTTTGCATTTTTATATCAACTTCCTCCTTGCAAAACCCTGAAGACAATGGCCAAGGCATGGCTGTGGCCTGAGTGGACTCAAATGATGGGGCACTTCTTAGTGTGTCCCAGTCTTGGAGGCTAACTTGTATTTGGGCTAACAGTCTCCATAGTACAGCTGGAAACAGGCTTTCCTTGCCCTGGTACCTGTTACTCTTGATGATGTCGTCAACCTCCCATCACCTGGGGCAGCAGGCTCCTTGAGTCCAAGGCAGCAGAAACAAGTGTGCATGACAGCAGGATAGAAATTGGAGAGTGTGCTTTTCCCTATGTGAAGGCCAGTGGGAGGCATCCATAGGGATGTAGGAGGACAGGAAATACTCCTGTCCTTCACCATGTCATAGACCAGGGCCTAAGCCTGAGCAAAGGAGGCCTGACTTCCAATCACAGATGGATAGAGGTTGAATGGTTGTTCTGGGGTTGATCCATGTTGCTCTGAGCAAGCAAGACTTACAGAGACCTCAGGGTCTGTACTGTGTTTGTCTTGGTCTTTATAGTTCTTTACTTGGCTGTGTTCACAGTACCCTAATTCTAGCTCCTGCCTTCCTGGACTTTCACACCGACCCTCAGCCAGAGCTAAAGACCAGGCTCTGGCCTCTGGACCCTCCTCGTAGAGGGGTTCTTTTCCTTCCTAACATTGGAGAGCAGGGATTTCTCAGCAACAGTCCTAGTTGATTACTGGCTGACATAATGGCATTTTTCCATCCTCCATTTTTGGCCCAGGCCCTGCCCTGTTCTGTTTTATGGATTGAGCTGTGAGCTTGTGCCGGCCCAATCATTTCATGTACACTTTCCCAGGACCTGGTCAGCTAGTGTTTGCTCCCTTTATTCCTTTTTTTTAAGAACTTCTTTTTCCATATCTTTATTTTTTATTTATTTTTAATGTGGTACTGAGGATTGAACCCAGTGTTTCACATGTGCTAGGCAAGCACTGTACAACTGAGACCCAACCCAGCTCCCTTTATTCCTCTTCCTGCTATACCAGTAGGCTTCTTGTGAGGCTTCAAGCCTGAGAGGCTTCTAGTGATGGTTCAGGAACTGACCCTTCTGCAAAGAGTCCATGGGGCAAAGCTGTAATCAGCTTTGGACACTAACTTGGTCTTTATGGCTTGATTGCCTTACCCCAGCTGACTACCCAAAAAGCTGAACTAGACTATCTCATCCATGTCACCCTTCATAGTTACAGAGGGAGCAGAGCTGGGCCGATGTATGAAGACTGTTGTCTGCCTGCCCCCACCCCTACTAGCCTAAAGTGAGCCACCTGCGTTTACACACAGGTGTTTCCTGTGCGCCTTCCTGTTGCCGTTTTTTTTATTCCCCCCCTGCTCAATGTGGCTTCCCCAGCAGGTGGTTAAGGCCCCAACCAAACCTCTTCATACACTGCTCTAAAGCACTGGGGGGGTAGGGCTTCTTAGGGATCTGGGTCAACCTGTACCTCCCCACACAACTGTTGGTACCTGATTGGCTCTTCCAGAGTGCAGGCACACATGTATTCCCTGCGACACTTGAATGCACATGTTGTGACATAAATGTGCTCCCACCACAGGCACTGAGACACCGGAGTGGGCTCAGGGAGGGAGAGGCCCTGTCCATGCACTATCTCCTTAGCCGTGGATAGTGGAAGTTCTGAAAGGAGACGGGAAAGGATAGAGGGTATATTTCTCGACTTGGGTGTGGGTCTCCCCTCTTTGGAACATACCTGCCATCCGGTAGTCTCACTCCATCCTTCCACAGGTTCTTAACCTCCTGGGTTAACACATTCATGTACCAAGCAACTCTAGGGTTAAGGAACTACCTTCCAGGAGCCCTGCTTCCTACACAGCACAGATCTGCCATCTGTTGGAAGCCACAGGGTTCAGCAAATTTGTTATTACAGAGAATGAGGCAGCCCAGGGAGGGAAAGGACTTTGTCCTGGGTGACAGGACAGACATCTGGGTCTCCAGCCTCCCTTTGGCAAGATTCTCCTCTTCCTGGCTCCCCAGTCTCCAGTAGGTACACTTCTCTTCCCAGAACACCCAGAAGCCTGGCATCCACTGATGCAGCTCTGCTGCCCCCTCGTGGTCCGAAGTGCAGTCACATCATGCAGGTTTTTCCTGCCTGCTTCCCTTTTGCTCCCTGGCCACATATGTTCCCAGGACTGGCACCCTTTGGGCCTCTCTGAGCCAACTCCACAGCTCAGCTCCACCCACAGCTGTTGTTCCTAGGCCCAGCTGCAGGCTGAGCCTCTTTAGCAATGCTTTCTACACTCTTCCCCTGCTCTCTTCCCCAAACCCAGTTCCCAGCCTCTGGGCTTTCTTCCACCAGGATTTCCAGGGCAAGTATGAATGCTGTTGTCACAGCTGGAGTGTGGACACACCATTGTCAGGAAGGGCATGTCAGAGGGTCAAGAGTGCATGTAGGAAAGATTTTTTTTTTAAATTTTATTTTCTGTAAAACTCTGTAAATAAAATACAAAACCAAGGGATGTGGTGAGGCAGAGGCAGGGTAACCAGGCCCTGGACACTCTGTGGCAAGGGATGTGCTGGGCCGAGGCTGGGAGGCACTTGACTTCGGGCACTGACTCTACCAACCCCAAGGGCAACAGAAGAATATATTAGATTTTCATTGATAGGAATCTGTGGGGAGGGAGGGGTTTCTGGAGCCAGCCCTCACCCACCCTGCCAGTGCCTGGTGAGCCCTGAAAGTAGGGGCAAGGAGCAGTAGGAGTATGTGTATGGAGAGTTTAGAATGCTGTACTGGCCATGCTGCTGGGCCCAAAAATTCGGGGCAGGGCATCCAGTGACTCTTCCAACCGTCGGTGAGCAGACTGTCCTTCTTCCCCTGTAATGCATGAGGATGAGATCAGGAGTGGCCCTAGACTCATCCTGTCCCTTCCATCTCCAGCCCTATCTCACCCTATTCCCATAAGCTAAGATGTCCCAGAATCCACCTGACCCACATCGTCCATCTCCTAGCCTTACCACACTGCTGCAGGCTCTGACGGGCAGCTTCCCTTACAGCTTCTGTGTCTGTTTGGCACAGGTACACCAGGGGCTCAATGCCCTCAGGAGCCTATCAGGGAACAGAATATCAAGGCGGGTTCAGTGAAGCAGGTAGGAAGGGCCCAGGGGTGGGGGTGCCAGAGGGGAGAGAAAAGGTGGATGGGTTGTCAGGGTTCACCTTGATACAGCCCAGGGCCAGGCAGCCAGCCACTCGGATCTGTATATCTTCATCTTCAAGCTGATCCAGGAAGCACAGGAGGGCCTGGGCAAGAGCAGGAAAGCAGATTTTATCAGATAGTGGGAACCCAGGACCCTAGTCCTTGCCTTCAAGGAAGCCCTGCCCGACTCACCCTTTCCCGGAAGGCAGGACCCAGGGACAGGCTCCGGAGCTGGGTACTGACAGCAGCCATGACCTTGTTGTTGCCATGGACAAGCAGGGAACTGAGGGCCCGAAGCCCATCCTTTTGCAGACGCCCCTCTGGTGCCAATCTTAGGGCCTTCAGCACAATAGCCTGGTCATCAGAGTTCAGATTCCGCACCAATAATACTGAAAGAAGGAAGGAAATGGAGAGTTGGGACAAGGTGGCAAGACAGGAGCTTCCTAGGATCAGAGGCCTTGTTCTTAAGTCTCATCCACACCCTCAGATACACCCATTTTGTGATCAAGGCCACTGCCTCACCCTCCTCAGCAGTCTCAGTTACATAGGTTTCCATGGAAGGGCTGTCCAAGGCTTCCACATAACTCCAGAACTGGAAGATAGTGAGCTGCTCCCCAGGGCTTGGTTGGGGCCTCCTGGGCAGTTTCTGCCCCAGGGCATCCTCCAGGAACTTCACACACACTGTGGAAGGCAGTGCCACAGTCAGGATGGGTCCAGGCTTTTAGTAGCAAAAGAATGCTCCTATCCCATGCTCACTTGCAGAGTCTCCCTGCCTGCACACCCTAGCCACATGGGCACAGTCCTTTGTTATTTCTCCCTAGCACTCAGCTCATATATCTGTTTGGGTTGACTTGGCCTTCCCTGAGGTCTCTTGTCATCAGGGAGCCAAGGAAGGACAGAAGGGGCAGGTAGACAGCCCACTCACCAGCCTCAGCTAAGCCTGGCTGGCGCAAGGAGAGACGGGCACCATACTGGCTGCAGAAGGTGAGGAGCACCCGCTCCACAGGGCAGATGAAGGGGCTGAGTCCCTCTGTGCACTGGTCCCAGAAGGCCAGGAAGCCGGGCCGAGAGGCTGAGAACTGTACCACTGTGGGGAGGTGGAAGGTAGGGGGTAGGAAATCATCAGCAACAGGGCAAATGGAGGAGGGGGCAGACAGACATGTAGATAGGAGTGGGGTAAGATAGGAGCTTCAAGATGGGCACCAGAGCTCAGGTGCATAAGGGCCCTTACCATCTTGGGCAGAGGTGGCAGGGATCTCCCATAGCCTGCTAAGCTCGCATACTGCCTCAAGCACTCGGGCTTCCCGCAGCAGCCGCTCCAGGGCCCATGCCTCCTGGCAGCGAAGGGGCCCAAATGTGCCCAATTTCTGAAGAACAGGGGTGGCTGAGTAGTTCAGACCCTGGGTACAGCTTGGGAGAGATGGAGTCCAGGGACTACAAGCAGAAGCATGCATTGGGAGAGACTGGGAGGTGGGGAGGAAAAACAGAATGTGGGAGGTCTTCCATTCAGCAAGAGCCAAATGCCAGAATCTTGGGACATTAGGGTATGGAACTCAGAGGAGGCAGAGAGGACCAGGATTAGAGTGCAGGCTCTCTGGAACAAGGAGTACAAGGGAAGGGCAGAGGAAATAACACTAGCCTCACCAGTAGGAGGCGGCTGCAGTGGTGTAGATGCTGGACCAAAGCAGCATCCAGAGCTGGACACCCCGTGCTGAGGGGACAAGCACTGGGTGAGTCTGAGCTGTCCTCAGCCCCAGCCTCCTGGTGGTTGCTTGGAGGCCTGAGAGAAAAAAATGGGGTCAACCCCCCC